CGACGACTCCTACTGACCAGCTGCAGTCGGTGTGGCTGGCCCCGGGCTCAAGCGAGCTGTGGGTCAATTTCGACCAGCGCTGTTTGGTGTTCCGACACGTGTATAGCTACGAACACGGCACCGAGTGGGCGGCAGGACGTGGTAGCCCGGGCCAATGCGCTCGGGACGGCGTCAATAGTGCGTAGCGACGAGATACACTCGGCATGATCGGAGGTCTCGTTCGATGCGGGATGGCGTCGGAGCGGGGATCGGATTGGCCACGTAGGTAGAGGAGGGGACGGCGGCGGTGTGCGGGCAGCGTGTGTGGGCACGGGAAGCGTTGTGTTGTGCATGCGAGGGCGCAAAATTTTGGGGCAGGCGGGTAGGTTTGATTTTTGGCGCCTCGATAGCTCAGTTGGGAGAGCGTCAGACTGAAGATCTGAAGGTCCCTGGTTCGATCCCGGGTCGCGGCACTTTTGCGTCCTTTTGCTGTGCTCGCCGCACTCGTTTCTGCGGTTCTGCGGGTCTGGCACGCTGCCTACCATGGCGTGCCCATCGTGCTCGCTGCTGCCGCGCTGTTTCTCACCCGCGACGATTCCTACTGACCGGCTGCAGTCGGTGTGGCTGGCCCCGGGCTCAAGCGAGCTGCGGGTCAATTTCGACCAGCGCTGTTTGGTGTTCCGACACGTCTATAGCTACGAACACGGCACCGAGTGGGCGGCAGGACGTGGTAGCCCGGGCCAATGCGCTCGGGACGGCGTCAATAGTGCGTAGCGACGAGATACACTCGGCATGATCGGAGGTCTCGTTCGATGCGGGATGGCGTCGGAGCGGGGATCGGATTGGCCACGTAGGTAGAGGAGGGGACGGCGGCGGTGTGCGGGCAGCGTGTGTGGGCACGGGAAGCGTTGTGTTGTGCATGCGAGGGCGCAAAATTTTGGGGCAGGCGGGTAGGTTTGATTTTTGGCGCCTCGATAGCTCAGTTGGGAGAGCGTCAGACTGAAGATCTGAAGGTCCCTGGTTCGATCCCGGGTCGCGGCACTTTTGCGTCCTTTTGCTGTGCTCGCCGCACTCGTTTCTGCGGCTCTGCGGGTCTGGCACGCTGCCTACCATGGCGTGCCCATCGTGCTCGCTGCTGCCGCGCTGTTTCTCACCCGCGACGATTCCTACTGACCGGCTGCAGTCAGTGTGGCTGGCCCCGGGCTCAAGCGAGCTGCGGGTCAATTTCGACCAGCGCTGTTTGGTGTTCCGACACGTCTATAGCTACGAACACGGCACCGAGTGGGCGGCAGGACGTGGTAGCCCGGGCCAATGCGCTCGGGACGGCGTCAATAGTGCGTAGCGACGAGATACACTCGGCATGATCGGAGGTCTCGTTCGATGCGGGATGGCGTCGGAGCGGGGATCGGATTGGCCACGTAGGTAGAGGAGGGGACGGCGGCGGTGTGCGGTCAGCGTGTGTGGGCACGGGAAGCGTTGTGTTGTGCATGCGAGGGCGCAAAATTTTGGGGCAGGCGGGAAGGTTTGATTTTTGGCGCCTCGATAGCTCAGTTGGGAGAGCGTCAGACTGAAGATCTGAAGGTCCCTGGTTCGATCCCGGGTCGCGGCACTTTTGCGTCCTTTTGCTGTGCTCGCCGCACTCGTTTCTGCGGCTCTGCGGGTCTGGCACGCTGCCTACCATGGCGTGCCCATCGTGCTCGCTGCTGTCGCGCTGTTTCTCACCCGCGACGATTCCTACTGACCGGCTGCAGTCGGTGTGGCTGGCCCCGGGCTCAAGCGAGCTGCGGGTCAATTTCGACCAGCGCTGTTTGGTGTTCCGACACGTGTATAGCTACGAACACGGCACCGAGTGGGCGGCAGGACGTGGTAGCCCGGGCCAATGCGCTCGGGACGGCGTCAATAGTGCGTAGCGACGAGATACACTCGGCATGATCGGAGGTCTCGTTCGATGCGGGATGGCGTCGGAGCGGGGATCGGATTGGCCACGTAGGTAGAGGAGGGGACGGCGGCGGTGTGCGGGCAGCGTGTGTGGGCACGGGAAGCGTTGTGTTGTGCATGCGAGGGCGCAAAATTTTGGGGCAGGCGGGAAGGTTTGATTTTTGGCGCCTCGATAGCTCAGTTGGGAGAGCGTCAGACTGAAGATCTGAAGGTCCCTGGTTCGATCCCGGGTCGCGGCACTTTTGCGTCCTTTTGCTGTGCTCGCCGCACTCGTTTCTGCGGCTCTGCGGGTCTGGCACGCTGCCTACCATGGCGTGCCCATCGTGCTCGCTGCTGTCGCGCTGTTTCTCACTCACGACGACTGGCTGCAGTCGGTGTGGCTGGCCCCGGGCTCAAGCGAGCTGCGGGTCAATTTCGACCAGCGCTGTTTGGTGTTCCGACACGTGTATAGCTACGAACACGGCACCGAGTGGGCGGCAGGACGTGGTAGCCCGGGCCAATGCGCTCGGGACGGCGTCAATAGTGCGTAGCGACGAGATACACTCGGCATGATCGGAGGTCTCGTTCGATGCGGGATGGTGTCGGAGCGGGGATCGGATTGGCCACGTAGGTAGAGGAGGGGACGGCGGCGGTGTGCGGGCAGCGTGTGTGGGCACGGGAAGCGTTGTGTTGTGCATGCGAGGGCGCAAAATTTTGGGGCAGGCGGGTAGGTTTGACTTTTGGCGCCTCGATAGCTCAGTTGGGAGAGCGTCAGACTGAAGATCTGAAGGTCCCTGGTTCGATCCCGGGTCGCGGCACTTTTGCGTCCTTTTGCTGTGCTCGCCGCACTCGTTTCTGCGGCTCTGCGGGTCTGACACGCTGCCTACCATGGCGTGCCCATCGTGCTCGCTGCTGTCGCGCTGTTTCTCACCCGTGACGACTCCTACTGACCGGCTGCAGTCGGTGTGGCTGGCCCCGGGCTCAAGCGAGCTGCGGGTCAATTTCGACCAGCGCTGTTTGGTGTTCCGACACGTGTATAGCTACGAACACGGCACCGAGTGGGCGGCAGGACGTGGTAGCCCGGGCCAATGCGCTCGGGACGGCGTCAATAGTGCGTAGCGACGAGATACACTCGGCATGATCGGAGGTCTCGTTCGATGCGGGATGGCGTCGGAGCGGGGATCGGATTGGCCACGTAGGTAGAGGAGGGGACGGCGGCGGTGTGCGGGCAGCGTGTGTGGGCACGGGAAGCGTTGTGTTGTGCATGCGAGGGCGCAAAATTTTGGGGCAGGCGGGTAGGTTTGACTTTTGGCGCCTCGATAGCTCAGTTGGGAGAGCGTCAGACTGAAGATCTGAAGGTCCCTGGTTCGATCCCGGGTCGCGGCACTTTTGCGTCCTTTTGCTGTGCTAGCCGCACTCGTTTCTGCGGCTCTGCGGGTCTGGCACGCTGCCTACCATGGCGTGCCCATCGTGCTCGCTGCTACCATGCTGTTTCTCACCCGCGACGATCCCTACTGACTATCTCAGGTTTTACGGATAGGACACACAATCTTAGGCACAATTAGCGGTAAATAAACGTTAATCGGCTTTAATTCTGCCTGGATCTATAGCTCACACACACGGTACGGATTGCATACCGGGGTACACCTGAAAAACTCTAGATATATCGAAATCAACGTTCGATTGAAAAATCGAATGCTATTCGCAATTACTTAAGGGACTGTGTTTTTACGACAGGTGGTGAATTATGGCCTTGCTAATTTGTAGGTTGGAGGGTATTGTGAAAACCGGCAAAGATGTCCAGACCAGATTAGCTTGATTAGGAGGGGTAGAAAATATATAAAAAGGGGTATTGCTGTTTGCAGATATTTTGGCCAACGCATGATTATCTCTCGTCAATAATCTCGATTTTAATCCAGCCAGCTCTTAATTAAGACCTAGGTCTGATTTATATATATCGCCAGTACTGGTTTAACATGCAAGCTTGGGACTCTGTTTTCCCGACCAAAACGCTTTTCTGCGGCTTGGAAACGCAGAAATGCCATTCTAGACGGGCCAAACCGAGTTTCTGGGCCTAAAAGCGGCCTTCACCAAAGCACAAAGCTAAAACAGCCCTCGCCTATCTCGTGTCCACTCATTGTAAGAGACAGGCGTGGTCTATTTTAGAGGTCTATTTTAGAGGACAAAGTATTTGCAAGCGGCAATACACCAAATCCTAAATCGCTGCGTTGGTCGTAAACCGTCCATGTGCAAATCCCTATCAAATGCCAATGATAGCATAGCTTCCTGAGCTATATAAATGGCCGCAGAGGTGCACTGCATCGTGCAGCGGGCTAGAGCAAGCGTATAAGCAGCTACTCGTGCCAAATTTCAGCCCAGTGAATAGTTCAGACGCAGACACATATTGCATGTACCCATCGGTTGTTTCATGTATACGGCAGCGTCGAGTTTGCCGTCCACGTTGACTTGGGCACCGTTCATATAAACGAGCTACCTCATAATTCGACGTGATTTGATTATAAATCGATGGCAGTCCGCGGTATATGAACAAGGCTGGGGAACGCCAAATCGGAGTAGCATCCTATTTATATATAACAAAACAAGGTTTCAGCTGCTTAATAAGCACCCAAATCGATCGATTTGCAAAAAATAGGACATAGTGTTCGGTTTTCACAATATATCTTTAGGATATTTCAAACATAACCGAACAAAACGCTCCAGAAGCGAGGTCGTTGCCGCCTCACCGCTGCTACTACGCTACATGTGTTAGTAGTGGTCAGCTACACATTTAGACGCAACCGCACTCGAAACACATAGGTGCGGATATAGTTGGTCACAATCGTTCAGATGTGACGTCGCCTTTTAACGCGAGAATCAGTGTTAACTTAAAAAGAAAACGGACCCGAAAAACAAGGGCACAAACACCGGTAGGCCCCCACGCCCGTATCAAGCCTCAATCAAATACATATAGCCTTATCAGCACAAAAAAAAGTAAAATGGATGGCAGCTTGACACAAACAAACTTAATTATACTTGCATTTGAATCAGTCCTGGATACACTACGAAAACAAATCCCTGTTGCTTCAAGTCAGGATTCTGCGTGATTAGGAATTCGTGTCGATGGTGCCTCTCATATTGGAGACCATGAGGCCGCACCACGCCATGACTCCCTGTAGAAGACCCTGCTGAGTGTCTTGAGGCAGCGGAAATGGTGGGCGATGGATCTTCACAAAGCCGGCACGGCGCATAGTCACCACCAACTCCTCATTCTCTCCCCCGCACTCACTTTCCTTTCCACCACCAGCCCCACCAACGATCTTCTTCTTCTTCTTCTTGAGAGCTGTCAGCACGATAGCCCCCATTTGGTCTTTGCGGACGCATTCTTCCGGGCTATACGGATAAATCTCGTCTACGTCTACGCTGTCTCTGACCAGAACTGCAAACGGCTCGTTGCTTTCGGACTGCTCGGCGTCCACGTATTGAGCAAAAGAGGCGGTATTCACCTCGGTCTTGACGCCGTTCTCATTCGCTGAAGAGAGTCGACAGTTGGTGAAGTTACCCGCCGCCACGCTCAAGTCGTCCCGCACTGTGATGTATCCGAGCCACTCAGAGATGGAGATCTCCTCGTTAATCAAGTAGAATCTAGCGGCGTCGAACACAGTTCGCAGGGACTTGGCACCCGTAAACTGCGTCACATCGAAGAGAGAGAAGCACAAATTCCCCTCTGGATCACAACTGCTCGCTGGATGAGTACGGCTGCAGTAAGTCGAGATGGCGACTTCGAGACTCAACGTAATCCACTCCGTTTTGGATTTTGAAGTCGCGGATTGCTGACAGCGTCCTCCGACGCGATTCAGGGTCAGTTCCTAGATGAATGTAGGAGTACAGAGGACTGGGCACCGACCCTCGCTGTTGAAATGCATGGGAGACACTGTAATGAGCCCAAATTCACCCAGAATTCAGTCGAAAATAGCGTACCAAGCAGGCTGATAGCCCCGCCTGGGCATTAGCGACCAGTAATTGCTGCTGGCGGAGAACACTGCTGAGCACCATGTTACTGGTCGCCGCTTTCTCGAGGTTACGGTCCCCAGTGAGCCCCACGCGCTCTTTCAAATCTGCCAGCTGAGCTTCGAGCTCTTGAACCTCTTGGTCCAGCCTCTTCCTGTTCACATAATCACCTTCATGTCGTTGCCTGTAACGGAGTACAACTCCGTTGATGACACCTAGAAGGATTACTCTGTGTTTACTTTAGTTCAGGTTAAGATGACGCTAGGTTTACTCTTAGAATGACTGGCTGCAAAAGAGCAGCAACCAAGAAGGAAAACCCGGACTAGGCCAAGCTAAATACACTTTTCATTCCGCTTTCAAGAGAGTAAAGCCTACGACGTTACATAGTAGCACTTGTCGTTGTCAAGTCCTCGGCGCCATCGAGCTACCGAGTCCAAGTTCCAGACCATCGAGTCCGAGTTTCAGACCATCGAGTCACGAAGCCATCGAGCCGACCCAAGTGTAGCCATCGAGCCGCACCAATATGGACGCCTGCAACGCGCCACAAACGTTTAGTGAGATGTTGCAGTTTTTTGCTCAACAACAAGAACAATTTCACGCACGAATGAATGAGCAAATAGCTGCTCAAGCTGCGCGCCTTGAAGCAATCACTAGCAAGCCACCTGCTGCCCGGAAGGCGGAGCCGCCCAAGTACCACGGCACGCTCAATGAGGACCTAGAGCTGTGGTTTTTTCATGATCGAACAATACTACGCCGACTATCACCCGATCATGGTGGAGAACAGCCCCGCGTTCGTCACCATGGTGTCGTGCTACCAGGCACCCACGCCTATGATTTGGTATCGGCAGTTTGTGGCCGAGTGTGATCGAGCCCAAATTGTCCGAACCTGGGAGACGTTTAAGGGTGCTATGCGCAAACGTTTTCTGCCACCGGACAAGGACTATATGCTGCGCGAGAAACTCTGCAAACTCACGCAAATTGGCTCCCTGCACGACTACCTGAGCGCCTTTCAAGATATCCTGATCCAATGCCAAGTGGCCATTACCCCCATGGAATTGCGGTTCTACTTTCAACAGGGGCTTCGATCGGAGACGTCCCACCATCTCCGAGAACATCACCCCGCTACGCTGGAAGAGACCATCGAGCTCGCGTTGCGCTTTGATCATGGGGTCACTGGAGGAAGCATGCCAGTAACCACGGCCAAGTGGACGGAAACCGCGACGTGTCATCGTTGCAAGCAAGTTGGGCATATCGCTTCCAACTGCCCTTCGGTCAAGGGGTAAGCGTGTTTTTAAAGTGGGGTCGTGTAACGGAGTACAACTCCGTTGATGACACCTAGAAGGATTACTCTGTGTTTACTTTAGTTCAGGTTAAGATGACGCTAGGTTTACTCTTAGAATGACTGGCTGCAAAAGAGCAGCGACAAAGAAGGAAAACCCGAACTAAGCCAAGCTAAATACACTTTTCATTCCGCTTTCAAGAGAGTAAAGCCTACGACGTTACATTGCCAGAGTGGGGATTCAGTGCTTACAACGCTACACGAAGTCAACTCACCTTCTTCACCAAGTAGGTAGCTTTCCGCTTTTTCACGGGGCGAAACGTGGTGTTGGCATTCGAGTTGTTGCTCGCATGGGAAGGTAGGCCGTGTTGCTTCTGGTTGTCGTTGCTACTGGTTGCCATCCTCCCATTCCCGCCCCTGTTGAATCCACTTGAGTCTTGGGCGGTGAAATGCGGAATGGTCGTTGGTTTCCGTTGATATTCTGGACCGACGAACGAAGTGGACACAGTCCTACATGTAGCAACAGCACCGGCACCGCTTCTCCGTTATTCTGAGAGGGGTCTGAAAGGGATATCCCTATATTTTGAGTCTTGACATGCAGATTTCCCGCTAACTCGAGGAGTCAAGCACAGTACGCCTGGATGCCGATGCGGGTTTTCCCAAGCCCCCCCCCCCCCCACTCGAAGAAACAAAGGGCCTCCCTCCAAGCTTCATGAAGGCAGCCACGACAATATAATCGCCTCTCGTAGGCCAGCACAAGTTTCCACCAGAGTGACGCGTGCAGCGCATTTGAACGTCTTGCAGTTAGTGAGCTACTTCAAAACCAGAGCAAAGGCAATCGTCATTATTTGATGATAGACGTGGTTTTGATATTACTCGAAGAGAGAAGCTTTTTGAACAACTAATGACAGAATAACATACCGGCACCAGTACCCTATGATGAAAGATAGCAATGCAACTTTACCCTGCGCTCGTGCATTAATCTACATTCGAGTCACCTGTGGATCGTTTACCGTCGCTCGTAAGATGCTGCTGCTTCACTTCACCATCATATCGATCATCCTAAAGGCGTGCATCTTCATGCCCAGATCAAAATTTTCTCCACCAAAGCACACGTATCCGATGGATGAAAAGCGGCACAAGTCCACGAACATGAGGCGCAAGGTATTACAGCCTTCCGTCATTCTTCCTACACCTATTGAGATCAACTAGGCGACTCCTTTGACTGCTCAGAAAGAGAATAAAGACCTGCAAGAAGAAATTCGTCAACTGCCATCCAAGCTGCAGCAACTACAACCCCCAAGAAGCCAAGAAGATGAGAACACTCTCCTATCTTCCATCATACGCCAACATCAACTCGAAATTGCTAGTGCTCACCCGATGTACAGTGTCCCAGTGATATGATCTCTACCCTGCCATTCTAATGGACTTTGGTGACTTAATTTACTAACATGACGCTCTTAACAACAGCAAAGCCACCCTATTGTCTCGTATATCCGCCTGAAAAAGAGCTGGCACGACCGCAACGAGACGCTTCTCGCCATCATCCCTCGGATAACGATATTGGCGTCTCCACAGCGCTCAATTGCGTCATGTTCTCGCAGCTCTTCGATGCGGGTGATGGGATCATCCCAGGTGCTGCGCCCTGTGCGACGACACGTCCTTCCTAATGAGCTCAGTCGACTGGTAATATGGGAGGAGCTCGTCTTCTCGTCCACAGACTCAAGCTCCACGACCCACAGGACACGACCAGCCGCTACCACTTGTCGGAACCACCGAAGAACTGCACGAACCTATCGCAGTTAAGCTCCGTTGCAATGTCGAAGTGGCTGGTCGAGACGATGCGGCCGTTGGCACAGTGCACAGTCGCAGTCGTCGCCGAGTGCCAGTCAGCAGAGCTCAATTTTGTTTGGGCCAGAGTCTGACTGGGTAGTGGATTCTTGAATCATGCACCCAAGTAGGAGATAGTACTCCACCACATGAGCTCGGCGCTCCATGCAACGAGTGCAAACCCCGAGTCGTGGTTTGCTCTGTCGAGCACGCTTATTGGGTGAGAACACATTCCCGGTTATCACACCATCCAGGCCCTCCGCAGGGAAGAGCACAAGGTGTCGGAGACCCAAGTCTGCATCACTGGACATCTAATCTACTGCAGAGCTCAACTGCCTCTTGTTGCAATGGCGGAGAAGAGGCGCAAGGCCACCGTCACGAAGCGGAAGGTAGAGAGGGCCAGCCGCTTCGGGGCACATACAAGGCACCGAGTTTCTAAAGACGCTGTTGTTTACTATGGCGGCAGGAGGAGATCAGCGACCTGAAAGCCGAGATCCGCAAGCTGCGGTCGGAGCTGGGGCTCCAATTGGAGCTGAAAGAGCTGCACGTTGTACCAGCCAGGACCCCTCCACTAGGGCAAGTCGTCTCGGACAATGAAGCGCTGTCTTCTGCTATCCATGGTCAACAGCTCGACATTGCTCGGGTTCACTCGACACTGTCACCTCCATTGGTGCGTAGCAAGTTTTTAATTTCTAACAGGGAGGCTCTAACCGTGATGATGCAATGGCTTAAGCAGGAGCTGCATCCGTTGTGTGCGCGCATCTGTCTGAAGAGGAGCTGGGAAGACCGCAGCCGGACGCTCCTGGATATCCGAGAGCAGAAATTCCAAGCTGCGTACGAGTACGTCAAGGCGCGGAGTGAGCTCTCGTCCTCCCACTCAAGCGACGAGCGGCTTGAGACTGCGTCGGGCGACGTGTGCTGCTCCATCTTCCAGACGATCAAGTTCCCCCACGTGGCGTCGCTCAGACAGGTGTACGACGCTGTGCTCTTCAGCATGAACAACGTGGAGATCAGCATCTGCGAGCGGCTGGGGCACGTCACGACGCGAGACGACTACGACTGCGCCGACAACAGCATCCTCAATGCGCGGATTGTCTCGACCAATGACTTGGGCGTCACGACGGAAGTGAGCGGCATCATGTTCTCGCGCTTCTTCGAGGCAGCTGAGGGATTCCACGGCGAACCGTGTGGGATGCTCGTTATCGACTCGGTGGATGAGGACGAGCTCTACCCTTACGCCCCGAGTGAACGAGTCCGCAAGGACGTATCTGCGGCGTTTGTGCTGACGACAGATAGACTGCAAAAGGGAAGCGATGAGCTGGTGGTGACGCTCCGACGGGCTGCCTTCGTGAAGCTCCACTACCCCGAGTTCGACTTGTCGGAGCGCGTTTGGCAGGACCTGCAGCAAGATGTCGCAAGGTGGGGCGACATCACCACCAGAGCTATCCGCAGTGTACTGTACTCGGTTCCTTGAACGGCCTGGAAACCAGAAGGCTCGATAGCCGTATATCCGCTTCAAACCTCTCTACGAGAAGAGCGAGAAAGAGAGAAAAAATGCTCGTGTTACAACCGAAGTTTTCATGGTGGGGACAACTAGAATTGCATTGGTTCCACCTCTGGCTAGGTAGTGCTATAATAGCTGGATAATAAAACCAGTACAAGTACGTCTTCATTTCATTTCGCAAACCCAACAACGTTACACAGCAAAGAGAATAACACTGGCCAAGTTTACTTTATTTTTCGAGGAGCACCTCTGTATTTCTCTCTCCTCCTACCCTCACCTATCGTCTCGCAAAGTTATCAAGCACCTTAAACAAGAGTTTATCTTAGTGGTACCAGTGAGGAATAACTCCCTGCGCTTGCATCCGCTTCCACCACTGATAATAGTAGTGGTAGACCTTCGCGTTGTTCTGATATTCTTGGTACGTGCGGCTCAAGTAGACTCTGTTGTACGCATGCCACAGCGTATCACATTTGCATGAACATATCGTCCATGGTGACTGCGTACGGCGTGGAGCGCTGCATCCAAGATGTGCGGGATCCCTCGATCTTCAGCGTCAGTGGTGCTCGGGCGGTTCTCGTTTATCGCGGCAGCCCCTCTCAGTTTTAATTTGCCGACGTGGAACTTGGGAGGAGTCTTGGGGGGCATCTTCAGGCTTCTCACATGGTTGGAGCAGCCGCTTCAACGGTAGTGAGGAAGGCGACCAACGTCACGAGGAGAGTCCAGGAGATCAAGCGCATGGCTGGTAAGGTGGTGAGTGTAGGTACTCTTGAGCGCAAGGAGGTGAATTGAAAACTGAGTCGTGTGGAACCGGTGATTCTGGTGGCTGGTAACAATGAAGCCAATTTTCCGAGGATAAACCTTCGATCCTCTGGTAGCATCCGATTTGCTGTCCAGGATTGAATCTGAATTAGACAGTGTGAAAAATACGAAGCAATCAAGATTCGCACTAAGAACCAAGTTATTAATAATTTATCTATCTGGCCCAAGCGGACCCTCTCAATGCGGCGCGCCTTCTTGTTGCTACCACTGGCGGTCGCCTTGGCCGGACGCTGCACGGCCCTTGCTAACCGCGTGATCACGAACGACCTGGGCGGTCACCGCAATCTGAAGGACCACGAGAATGACATCGAAACTGAAGCTGCAACTGAAGAACGGCTGAATATCCCAGGGCTCAAATCTCTCAAGCCCCTCTTCCAAAATAACCCGACCGCGGCCAAAGCTCTCGAGAAGAACCCCACCGCGCTTAAGACGCTACAGGATAATCCTGCGCTCGGAAAGCAGGTCGAGGCGCAGGTCAGCCAACCTGGTGCCATCAAGAAGCTGCGATCCAACCCTCGCGTCGACAAGCTCGCGAGTAGTTTGGCGAAACAAGCTGTCCAGAAGAACATGGCGAACGAAGCCTTGACGCCCAGCCAGCAGAAACTTTACAACAATTTTGCTTGGGCGGTTGCAGTCGTCGTCGCAGCAACCGTCTTCGGCGTCTCAATGGTACTGCGTGGTCGTTCATGTTCAGAATAATACAGCTCCTCTTGAGTACTACGGCACACTTGGCTACCAATTAGCACTCACTCACTCTACGGCACCGAGTGGAGCAGACTTCTGATGCTCCTGCGCATGATGTCGTCCCAAGCGGCGACGTCTTGCTGCGCTTCTTGCCACGCAGCCGATATAGGGAAGCTCGGGTGATGAAGCTTCACAAATGCAGCGCGTCTTAAAGTCGCAGTCAAGTCTCCACCGCTCTTAGGGTCTGCTGTCACCACGACGGCTGAAGAAACGTCTTTCCGAATGCGATCGCTGGACTCGTACGGGTAAAGCTCGTCCTCATCCACCGAGTCGATGACTAGGGCGCAGCGCCCCCCTGGGAGGATCTCATCAACCGCATCGAAGAGCTGCGAGAACATGACGCAGTTGAGCTCTGTGGAGATGCCGAGATCGTTGTCGAGACGATCCGAGCGTTGAAAGTGTTGCCGTCTCCTCCGCCGTCGTAGTCGTATCGCGTTGTGATGTGGCCCGAGCGCTCCGAGATGCTGATCTCCGCGTTGTTGAAGCTGTAGACGACTGCCTCGTGCACTTGCTTGAGCGACTCCACGCCTGGGAGTTGAATTGTCTGGAAGAGGACGCAGCAAACATCGCCGTCGGCGGTCTCAAAGCGCTCGTCACTCAGGTGAGGCTGGTTCCAGGGGGTGATCCCACTGCGCTGGACGATGTGCTCGTACGCAGCTCGGAATTTCTGGTCGCGGATGGCGAGAAGTGTCTCGTTGCGGTCGTGCCAGCTTTTTTTCAGGCGGATATGCGAGTAAAGAGCGTGAATTTGCTGTAGTGTAAACATCCTGTTAGTAAAATTTGGGTCACCACGTCCAAGACAAAAAAACACACACAATTCGTACCAGTGGGAGACTGCAAATGGAGTGAACGCTGGCAACATCCAGTTGGTGTTGATGAATGATGGAAGATAGAAGAGTATTCTCCCCTTTTTGGCTTCTTCGGGGTTGCAGTTGTTGCAGCTCGGATTGCAGTTTGCGAATCTCTTCATGCAGGTTTTCCTTCTCTTTCTGCGCAGTCAAAGGAGTCGACCATTATACGCCAATACATGGGAAGGATAATGAAAATATGTAATACAAGTACCTTGCGTCTCATGGTCGTTGATTTGTATCGCTTTTCAGCCATATTTTGTTGTTGTCGGCTCGGTGTGCTTTTCACGGAGAATATTTTGAACTGAACATGCACGAAGTGACTTTACGTACGCGGGAATGATGGTGAAGTGAAGCAGTCAGTTTTTTTTTTTTCAGAAGCGTGGATTCGAGCTTGCACGATTTTTTTATACTGTGCGTCCTGCTACCATCGTCATTCCCAGCGTCGCGTGGAAAACAAACACAAATGGATTAAAACCTCGAATATGCTGCCTGGAGAATCCGAAGATCCCTTCGAACACTTTAATGCTACGACTACCTGACATCCCCCCACCGCGCGATCCCCCCTTGCAACTCCTGCAACGCCGCTTCGTCAACTGGGAACTGCGGGTAGAACAGCTTGAAAAAGGCTGCACGCCGCATGGTCACGACCACGTCAACGTCGTCCGCTTCTCCACCAGCTCGATTCTTAGATTTTCTCGTCTTTGGTTCGTTCACCGTCAAGACAATTGCGCCGGCAGTGTCACGTCGAATGCGTTCGCTGGGGACGTATGGGTACATCTCGTCTTCATCAACGGACTGGACAACTAACACTCCGTATTCCTCGATGGCGCCGCCAAGTCCAAGACCGTCTTCACCCTTGCGAAACAAGTGGGAAAAGGTGACGACGTTCCCTTCAATCGTCAGTCCACGGTCGTTGGTCGACAAGACGCGCGTGTTGTAGATCTTGTCATCGACGCAGTCGTAGTCGTCTTGCACCGTAATGTGGCCCAGTCTCTCGGAGATGCTGATCTCCAGGTTGGTCACGTAGAACATGAGCGCGTCCCAGACTTGCTGGAGGGACTTTACACCAGGGAACTCCACGGTCTCGTAGCGGATGCAGCACAGATCCCCGTCGCTCGTCACGAATCGCTCGTCGGACTGCGTGTGCCTCGCGCTGGCGACCCGACTTGGATCCATGACGAACCGGTACCCGTTGAGCAGTTGGTCCTTTTCCAGTTCAATCGGAAGATTTTCCGGCGCTTGTCGTAGCCTTTAGGCAGTCGAAGGCAAGTGTAGAGTGGATGTGTATGCATTTATCCCTCACAGTAACAATTAGTTACAATATTGATTCAAGAAGCAGTGTTAGCAGTTTCATACGCACCAGCCTCGCCCCCATGAGGGACTGCGCTGAAGCAACTTCGAGCTGCAGATTGTGACCGAAGTTTTTCAAGACTGGGTTTTCTGCCGCGGCTTGTTGAAACACCGAATCGATTTTCGCAGCTTCTTCATGAGGCAGCGAGTGGGTCTGGAGCACGATCAGCTCGGATTCGAGTCGGCGGACTTCAGACTTTAGGGCATTGGCATTTTCCTGTGGATTATTTGTCACTCATAGCGTCAGGTGAAACGAGCGACGAGGACAGTTATCATGGAGCTATAAGCGGCAAAGTCCACGTACTCGGCGCACACTGTACGTGCACTTGCGAGCCTTCTTGGGCTTTTCGCTGGTGACTGTGCGGCTTGGCACTGCATCCTGCGACTGCAGCATAGCAGCTACGTGGCTGGATCCGATTGTTGTTTGCAAAAATCTGTCCGTAACCGCCGGATTTTTTTTTATTTGGGAGGCGTCAACAATCCTCGCTAAAAACTGCTTTCCATGAAATTGTATATAAAAACGTTTGGTGGTCAATGCAAGGCGAGGAGGATTTCGCAAAGCGTGGTGTCAACAGAGCAAATCTGGACTGACATGTGAAAGTAAAAGCTTTAGCCTAAAGTTCGGAGTACACGCAGCTACGGATGGTCTTCATCAGTACGTCCCCCCACCTTCATCAGTACGTCCCCCCACCAGCCGATTCCAGCCTGCAGCTCTTGACGTGTCGCCTCCGACACTGGGAACTGCGGGTTGTAGAGTTTCAAGAACGCAGCTCGACGTAACGTCACGACCAGCTCGTCTTCACTCTCGCGGTCCTTGACCGGCCGTCTGCTCGCTGTCAAGATAATGGCCCCCGACGTGTCCAGACGAAAGCGCTCTTTCGGGAAGTACGGGTACACTTCGTCCTCGTCGACCGAGTCCAGAGCCAAAATTCCACACGCCTGTCCGCCAAAACCTTTGTCGTCTTCTGTGAAAAAGCGCGAGAACGTGACAATGCTGCTCTCGACTGGCGTGCAGTTGGCCGAGCGCGACAGAACGCGAATGTTGTACACACTGCCGTCGATGGTGTCGTAGTCGTCCCTCACTGTCGTGTGCCCCAGTCTCTCAGAGATGCCAATCTCGATCGTATTGTAGTGGAACAGCAGCGCCTCCCACACTTTCTCCAGTGACTCGACCCCTGGGAAATGCATCGCCTCCAGGTGCACCGAGCACAAATCTCACTCTGAAGTCTCATATCGGTGGTCCGACGTGTGCGGCTTGTCCGGATCCACGAATCTCCCGGGGACCATGAGGAATCGTACGCACTCCTCAATTTCTCTTGGCGAACGGCCATCAGCGTCTTCCGGCGCTCGTCCCAGTCCTTGGTGAGGCAGATCTTGGTGTACAGCGGGTGCGACGCTTGATCCCCCTATACAAGCATATTGACAACTTTTAATCAAGAATCAAATATCATAAAATAGAATATAAAACTTACAAAACATTCGACCAGCATGGACTGGGCGTTGGCCACTGCGAGCTGCTGCTTCTTGGCTAGCGACCTCATGAGGTTGTTCTCAGCCACGACATGCTGCACGACGGGGTCCAGCAGCGCCGTGTCTTCGGGCGAGAGGGAGCGGACCTGCAGCTCCTGCAGCTCCGAGGTCAGTCGCTTCACTTCCTCGCGGAGCTGCTCCGTCTCCTCCTGCAGAGGCGATAGATTATAGAGTGATATGAGTATTATAGGATCGAGGGGGATTCTTGTTGAGGGGCACACGGATCACCCGCCCCTGCTTGTAATATTGACCGCAAGGTACTGAGTGAGGTATGAAATTGTAGCTCAAGATTTCAGCAACCAGAGACGATACCAGCTAACTAAATTCATGAATAGATTTTTTAGCATAAAGTTGTCGCGTGACGAAAGCGGCAACACCAGGTCTGCCTTCGCTTGGCAACTATAGCCCCCACTGACACAGGCGCCAGCATTTCTGCTGTTATCTTATCTATCTAAGGCGTTACCAGCAAACTTAGCAAAGATAGCATTGCTTGTCGAGCGCACCGGCGTGATCATCCGTGCGACGCATTCACAATACCACTTTTTGACTATCTGGTAGTCATGGCTATCCCGACCACGTGGTCGTGATAAGTGCTCCCGGCTCGCGGGTAGATTGCACCTCCTGCAGTAAGGCTAGTGTACATGTAATTACATGTTAGTGAACGTTACCTACATGTATTCGATCCGTTCTCACCACTATGTCTTATTTACTCAGGTATTTGTCTACGTACTCAGTGGGCTAACGCCATGACGCGTTGATTAGCTCATCATAATAGCTTTCGTCCCACAAAAAGCGATACATGTACTGTATGTACCTGGTCATTGCGAGAAGTTCGTCATGAAGAAGCAGAAGTGCTCCTACACTGCGCGTCGAGTGGTTGGCTAAAAGTTGCTATCGAAAATTCTACGAAACTGGCAATTTGCCTTATCTGAATTATTAGGGCTGTTTCGTGCAGTGCTCGAAAGTGCACGAAAGTACTTTCGTGCAGATTCATCAGCCCTTTATTACGGGGATAGCCTATTGAGACATCAATTGCTTTTCTCTACTAAGTACGATTAAACATCTTGAAATTACAGGCATAACCCTACCGAAACTAGTGCACGAAACAGCCCTATGAATTATCAATGTTCTAGAAGTGAGTGAATCGCCCCCCTTTCGTCCACATATCTTCAAATCGTTTAACTACTTGACGCAGCACTGCTTGTTGAGCCCATCGGCGCGATCATCAGTGTGTCTCGCCCGAGGCGATTCCTGAGGAGGTTCCTCGTACTGTCCTTGATTGCGAGTTGAAAAGGTCACAACTATGCCAGACTTTCCCATTAGTGTGATTGCTATGTGAACGCGGACCAATCCAGAGTTGTGACTACAATTCGTAAATGCCATAGTTATTAAAGCAGTTAGGAAGAACACTCGAAGCCTCTGGAGCTGCAGTCTTCGATGTATTGTGCTTTGCAAACGTTTTGTCGTTTTGACTTGGAGCTTTCCTCGAGTTATAATAAATCGAGATCGATTTATTGTGAGAACCGATCTGTTGCAACCCCTTATTAGATCTCATCTGCCTAATTAATCAGAGTACAAATCAGGACTGAAATCTAAATGCATCACTTGACAGCTCGATTGCCCAGTAGAAGGTGGGCATTCTGCTCCAAGCGCGGCTATATCGACTTGGCTTCCATAAAAAGATCGCCTAATCTGCACATCCACTCGCATATGCATCGCAGGGCGCGATCGATTTACAAATCGATCGAGCTAAATCATAGTGCTAATCAATCGATTTACGAGCAAAATAGGCAAATGAAGCGGTTTTCACAATAATAAAACGAGATCAAAGATCGATCTATTTAGGCCGCCTAATAACTCGACCTACGCCAATCCAAATCAGGGTTCGAGGTCGATCTCCTGGTGGATTTGAGTAGAATGAGGTTGATCTACGGTAAATCGATCCTTTTCGCGTTTTCAAAAGCGCAATTCGAGGTCGATCTAAGTAAATCGAGATCGTCCATGCTACCCTCTCTGATTTGTGCCCTGATTTGTGGACCGGCCTTCCTCGATCTAGGCCATAAAAAGGGGCGACATTTTATCTGCAAAGCACAATACAACAAAGATAAGATCGAGATGTGGTTCACCTTGTCGATCGAGCCGACATACAGAAGACTGGAGTAATTCCTGTACATGTAGGCGTAGATGCCTTGGTCAAGTTAACCACGTATCTCCTACGAAACTACATCAGATTTTAGAAGTTCTGCACCGAATAAACAATGAGGAAGATTCCTAAGAGAAGCCTACGTCAGTGCATGAAGTAGTGATGCCACTTTAGTGGCTTCCTTAGTATTTTTATAGACACTGAGGTCGTGACGCGAAGTCTGTGAGGAAGAGGTTAAGCGATTCGTTCAACGTCGGTAGGTCGCCGGCGATACAGGAACGACGCCAGCGATGAAAGAGGTGCGTTGTCAGGTTCCGTGATGACCTACACTGGTGGGACAGAGTTCGTTATCTTCCAACTCACTGGTAGAATGCTTTGCCTCACTGGGGTGGCTCGGATGCGCGTGGTTGTTACGCGTTCCCGAACAGAAGCCAGGGAACCTGTGTAGCATTAAACTGTTGCAGTCGACGAAGCGTTCACGCCACAGACGAATGAGCTTTTGCTCTCCTTATCTATCTCGAACTCAACCTCATAGGCTATCCCCACCACCTACGAAGCTCGGATCAACATCGATCGATGGGCGTGCTCAAGTATCGGTCGCGTTTTGACTATCCAGTAGTCAGGTTATCCCGACCACGTGGTCAGGAATCTCGACTCGGGATAAGTGCCCCCCCCGCATCGCCATCAAGTCAGCGTGCCAAATCGTATGCTGCATGATAAGAATGATGGTCTGGTATTGAAGAAGAAGAAAGTTCGATTACCGATTATTTGTCCTCTCAACTTGCTTAGTAGATGCTAACTATATGTTGTGAACTAATCGACTAGCGTCTGAAAGACGATACCTGTTCGATGATTCAGATGTAGTTGGACGTGGCGTATTTGGAAGGTGTCGGGGTGGCATCGATGGAAATCTCCAAAAGAACTGCTTTCAGCCAGCTTCGTAATGATCTTCTTGAGTTTCTGTTGTTTAGACTTATCCGCACGTCTCAACAGGCGACGGTAGTGAGCACCGAAAGTATTGTAGATTGCAGTGATAGTGGTGTCGAGTGATTCGGGGTCCTTCTCCTCAAAACAGTAGTGATTTCGTTCGGTCCATTGATGGTGCAGTATGATACACCTGACTATATTCCACAGAGATACAATCTCGGTTCGTTCTTGGTACCAGCACGCAGCCAACTGCGGTAATACCAGGCTGATCCACGTGAGATGGCCCACAAGGAAGCGACTCCAGTCCTTCCATATCGTGGCCCATACGGCCTTTGATTTCGCGCACTCCATGAAGAGGTGTTTCGCTGTCTCGATGTTGTTGCAATTCGAGTATGGACACTGTTACACGGTCGGGTCTTGTTGCGTAAGAAACCAGAAGCGTGATCGTACAGGCAGTGGGCGAAGTGCGATACGCATCTGCAGGTCGTCGTAAATAGGCAGAAGTTGGGATCTGTGTGCACGTCCAAATCTTACGAAAGCAGGTACGTCGGCTGGGGTCGTTGAGTCGAGGTCTTGGCGAATAGGATGCCTCGAAGAATCCGCTGCTGATGGCTGTAGTAGTTGCTTGAGTTTAGGACGGGGGATGTACGGGAACAAAAACGTTTTTGCGGCGATTTTGATGCCTACATTGGGGAGGTACATCGCTTCGGCACGAATATCGAAGATTCTTATTGTCGTCTCAACGCGGTAGATAACTTGCATCAATTCCTTGTGGAGACTGCGGAGCCATCGCTTCTGAGTCGTCAATGGGAGTTGGATGTTACCTGGCTCGAGAGCCCGCCATAAAAAGGTGGCAACGGATGGGTTTTTGCCGATGTCGCCGAAAATGTCTTTCATACAGGAATATTGCGGCTACATGGAGTCGAAAGCTTCTTTTGGGCTCTGCAACAGCGGCGAGATTTCGTATTTGGCCTTGAGGGGTAGTGTAGTGGAGGAGTTGGTTCTTTGAAAGCCACAATGGCGCGTACAAAAGTGCGATCGCGCTGCGTTCTTGGCCTCCATCAGCTGGCCATTGAACTTTGTGCCACAATGTCCATGCGTCTCTCCACCATTCTGGTAGCGCTGTAATGTCGAATAAGTATTTGAACTTGTTAGGCGAAATATCAAGAAAGTTGAGTGGGTGCTTCACTGAAAGCGAGGGAGTGAAAGCTTCGAAAAATGTAGACGCTAGTTGCGGCCACGCCTCCTTCTCCGGCTTTCCGAGCGGTTTTACAAACTGTTGTAGAAGCTGTAGGCGTTGCAGTTTTAGCTGCGTTTCGAGGTGCGGGAGCTGCACCCCCCCTGCCTGCCGCGGCAAATACAGTAGTTCCGCGGGGGCGAGTTGAACAAACTTGGAGTCTGCATCCGATTTTCCTGTGAGCACAAACTTATTTAGCATCCGCTGCCACCGGTGTACGCAAGGTGGAGGAACCGTGGTGTGTGGAGTGAAATGCCACAGTACGGATAGAATCATCGTGTGCACCAGTAGAAGTCTTCCTCGTAAGGTCCTCGCTCTCCGCCCCCATACGCTGAACCCCCGATAGAACTTGTTGTTTAGCTCGACTACGATAGTGTCGTGGGACACATGTTGCCCGAATGGGATGCCCAAATACTTGATCGAATCGTCAGCGTAAAGGCACCTTACTTCAGGGAATATTGGGCACGGCATATTCTTGTTCAGTGGTAGCAACGCAGATTTTCTCAAATTGAGGCGTGCTCCCGAACCTTGGCAGTAGGGTTTCACCTGCTCGAGCTGCTGGCGTATGCAGTTCGTGTTCTTAGCCACTAATGTAGAGTCATCAGCAAAATACAGACCTGTGACGGTTGTATGTTGATTCACTAAAACACCTAGGTCAGACCGTCGGCGAATTAGGTTCCCGAGTGGTTCAATACACAGTAAGAAAAACAGAGACGACAGTGGGCCCCCCTGCTTAACACCCCGCGTAACTTGATGTGGCTGTAGTAGGAATCCGTTCAATAAAATTAGTGCGAGAGGTTTGTTGTACAGAAGACGAATCCACGAGATATACCGGTCTCCAAATC